ACCAGTTCCTGTGCTGCTGATGTTCTATTCAAAAACGTTTTGCCCATCCAAATGTCTTGAAGACATCTAGAGTTTTCATCTAGAAGTTTCAGTGTTTCGGGTTTTAAATTAAGGTCTTAGCTCCATCTCAAATTGATTTTTGTACAAGGTGAAATATATGAATCTAATTTCACTCTTCTGCAGGTGGATATCCAGTTTTGCCAGCACTGCTTGTTGAATAGGCTATCTTTTCTCCCAAGGTATGTTTTTGCCTCCTTTGTCAAGAGTTATGTGGGCACAGCTTTGCCAGTTTATCTCTGGGTCCTCTCTTTTGTTCCATTGGTCTACCTGTCTCTTTTTATGCCAGGACTTGGCTTTCTTCATCACTATAGCTCTGTGCTATAATTTGAGATCAGATGTTCAAATACCTCGAGCTGTGTTTTTACTCCTTACAATAGCTTTGGCTATTTGTGATATTTTGTGGTTCAATATGGAGCCTTGGATGGCCTTTTTCTGGATCTGTGAAACATGACTCCAGTATTTTCATATGTATTTCATTAAATCTGGAGATTAATTTTGGTGGTATAGCCAGTTCCACAAAATTAGTTCTCCCAATCCAGGAGCATGGAAAGTCTTTCCATCATCTAGTGTTTTCTTTGATTTCCTTTTTCAGTGTCTTGAAGATTGCACTGTAGAGGTCTTTCCCTTCTTGGGTTGAGTATAGTCCTAGCACTTAATTATTTGGTGCTATTTTGAATGGGATATTTTTCCTAATTTCTTTCTCTCAGAGTATATTGTTGATACATATAATAGCTACTTTTTCTAGATTGATTTTGTATCTGCAACTTTACTATTTTTTGCCATTAGAATAAACTGGCTTCATAGAACGAATTTGGAATATTCCTTTGCTTTCTATTTGTGGAACAAGTTAAGATAAATTGGCATGAGATCTTCCTTGAAAGACCGATAGAATTCAGCAGTGGATCTGTCCAGTCCTGGGCCTTTTAGAGTTTTGATTTCAGCTTCTATTTTGCTACTTGTGGCTCCTTGGTTTAATTTTGGTAGATAACATACATTTAGAAATTATTATATTTTTTCTCAGTTTTCTAGATTTTTAGAATATGTATTTGCAAATTCATCTCTAATGATCCATGGAAGTCTGTCATAATGACACTGCTTCATCTCTAATTTTGCTAATTTGCATCTTCTCTTTGTTTTTGTAAGGTTAGCTAGTTTGTCAGTCTTATTGACTCTTTCAAGAACCAACTCTTTGTGTTCTATTTAGCTTTCTATTGCTGTGATAAAACTCTCTGACAAAACTGCCATGGGGAGGAAAGGGTTATTTAGCTTACAACTCCCAGGAAATTAGGGCAGGAGCTCAGGGCAGGAACCTGGAGGGAGGAACTGAAGCATAGACCCTGGAGGAACGGTGATTACTGCCTTATTTCTTCTGGCCTGTGCTCAGACTGTTTTCATACACAACTTAGGACCACCTACTCAATGGTGGCACCCCCCACAATGGGCTGGGTGCTCCTAAAACAATGGGCTGGGTGCTCCTACAGCAATGGACAGTTAAGAAAATGCCTCGCACATGGTCACTGGCCAGTCTAATGGAAACAGAACCTCATCTGAGGTTCCCTCTTCCCAGGTGTTCAAGTTGGCATTTGAAGCTGTCCAACACATTTTATTTGATTGCTTTTGTGTGCTGTTCTTTTAGTGTTAATTTCATTAATTTCTTCCCTAATCCTTATTATTACTTTCTGTCTGCTGGGATTGGAATTGCAGCTTGGTGATTTTCAAGAGCTTTGGAGTGCATCATTAGGCTTTTTATTTGATACCGCTCAGATTTTTAGAAGCTAAATTCTCTCTCTCTCTCTCTCTCTCTCTCTCTCTCTCTCTCTCTCTCTCTCTCTCTCTCTCCCTTGCTCATGCTGACTAAGTAGAGCCTTTGGTGAGGAAATCAGTAGTAACTATTATGATTAACTCAATGTGCTTTAGAAGACCTCAGAAAATTTGCAAATTGGACTAGCAACTTCTTAATGGTACTGTTAAGTATATTTTAGGTGAAGATTAGGATAGAACTGTTAATTTCTTTTTTGCTCTTCTAGATTCTTTTCTTGGGAGCAAAGATTGCAACAATATAAAGAAAGATACTGAAAAGACATAAGGCGGCTTATTGCCGGTTGCTGCTTGAAGGATACCAAAAGCCTCCATAAGAATCTTGAGCATTTATGAGGGTGCTGTAATATGAATTTTAGATAAGAACCTCCTCACAGTTGTACTTCATGTCAATTAAAATCATTCTGTTTATTGTAATGCAGAGCCATAATAGACTAAAGGAGATGTAGAGACAAAATTTAAAGCAAATACGTATGTGGGCACAATCATGCATTTTTGGCCAACTTAGTTTAAATTCAAATAAAATAAAATACTCCCCCCTCTTTACTTATTGCTGATTTTTTAAAGGATGGGGATAAATATTTTTTGCTTCATTGCCCAATAACCCAAAGCTACATAAGAATGAGTTTCTATAACTACAAGGGAACATCCCTGCACTAAGGGTGGAGCTGTGCAGTCAACTGCATTTCAGGTTTTTATTGTCCAGAGTACTGAGTTTACATGTAAAATGCAGAAGAGCTTGGAAATCTGCATGCCATATCCATCGCATAACCCTCAATGCTAAATTTTAAAGAAAGCTTCTATTTGTTTCTCTGTAGCAACAACTGGTACTCATCCAGAGCAGTCCCATTAACAGCCCAGAACATCACACAGCTGATTGTAGCGATATCTTATTGGACACAGGATGCTCACATTTCTTAGGGATCTGGTGACAAGCCTGGCCAAGCTAGACTTGGGAGGAAAAGGCTCTCATTAAAATAGTAGGGGCACAAGTAAATCTTCTCAAGTAAGACATTGTACTTCCTCAAACTTGGTTTTGTTCCTAAAAGGTATTTAGTGTAGCCTTGTCTTTTTGAACTTTGGAATTGTGTGACATTGGACATCCAATCACAGTTCCTGAAATCTGCTCATTGCTCATCATCTTGATATCTGGTACCAAACTTGAAAATCACAAGCTGCCCAGCACAGGGAGGGAGCATGGATTCTTCACTTTTCCCTCTGCTGCTTTATTGGGGGTAGCAGATGTGTGCTGATCAATCACCTGACCTGTGAACTGGAAGAGGTAACCCTAAAATCTTTTAGGAATTAGATTAGTGCTCCCAAAGACTGTTGACATTTTTGACCTTTGGAATGAACCATCTTAAAAACCTTCTACTCAGTTATAATTTGCCATTCTCATGAGTCAAGAATATGCAGGAAAATCCTTGATTCTCTCCATTTTTAGTTACCTTTGTTTAGAGTTTGTGGCCATATCAGTTTTAGTGAAGAGACAATTAGCTGCCAAGTGAGACCTTCCCACCCTATGCTCTGGCTCCTGTGCTCTGGTGCAGACCTGGATGCTCCAAAGGCTTGCTGGCCCCAGGAGTTTCTGGCATGGTGTTGTCAGCTGGCTCTTGATGGTCAGGAGGGAAGCAAGTACTTTTCCCTCCCAGCTCCTGAGACACCCAGTTCTCGTGCTCCAACTCTGGGCTCCTGTTTTCATTCCACCCCCTTTCCTCGCCCATCCCACTACCACCTCTTCAAAGAATGTAGCCATTGTTATATTAGCTATGCTTTGAATTAAGAAAAGAAAAGAAAGAGGTGGGGAAAATTAACAAAGTGAACTGTGCAAAAATTAGGAGTGGAAGGGGGTGGCCTATTATGAAATAGTATAATAATCTTAAAGAATAGACTTCGCTTCCAACCTGTCTTTTTATACTTTAAATTTTTGACTCAAAGAGAAATAGCTGATGGACCTATTATACCATTTTCCTTGTCAAATTCCATGCCATGCTTGGACATAGAAAGAATGATCTCTAAGACAGGAATACCATGCAGAGAAAGTCTTAGAGTTAGAGACTTGAGCATTTGTGGAGGTAGAAGAAACCTAGTACCCTAGGCAGAACATAAACTAAAAGAAAGTGAGCACTGACTCCCAAGGGGGAGCGAAGACCCTGGTAAAGAAGGGTACTTTCAACAACTAGTCATGATGTTTGGAATTTTACATTCTTAGCATCAGAAAAACAATCAAATGGTCAGTACCAGAAGCAACGTATGTGAAGTCTGCTCAGGACTGATTGGACCAAACCCATTGCTTAGTTCCACCTAATCTAAGGAAGTCAGGAAGCACATGTGCCCCCCAAGAAGAAAACTAGGGATTTTCACTCCAAAGTGGCATTGACTCCCAGTGGTGAAAATTAAGTCTCCAGGTAGCTCCCCAGCAGGCTCTGATCCAGGAGGTCCTTGAGAGCCACATTGTTGAAGGGCCTTCTCAGCTGAGTCTGATGCAGGAGAAGGGAAGATGAAGAGCAATCCTGCCCACAATTTAAGTACAGATGAAGCACATCTTAGTGCAACAATCGAAAGGATGGGAATAAATCTGAGATCGGTCAAGTTATATTCAGAAAGGCTAAAGGTGTCTGGTAGAGTGGCGGGCGCAGGGCGGGGGCGGGCACGACTCAGGAAGTTTCCCATTGCCCAGGCACTGGAACTGTGCCCCAGACAGAGCAGACCCCCATGTGTGTGAAGCTGCTCTAGATCCTGGGAGATAAGGAGAAATGTGGAGCCAACTCCAACTCCCAGCAATGGCTTTCAGACGTGATCTAAAACATTTACATATTAACAAAACGTATTGGCCGTCCCTTAGTGTATTTTATTGTGTGACTTTTTCTTCCCTTTGTTTCTCCTGCTTCCTTTCTTTTCTTTTCCATCCTCTACCACTTTGTCTTCCTTTCTAACTCCAATTATCCTTTCTTCTTTCTTTATTTTACTCCCTACTTCCCCCCTCAATTCTTCTCTCCTCAATATTTCTTTTTCTGTCCCCTTTTGTCCCTCCGTCTTCCTCCTCTCTCTTATCTACTGCTCTCTCTCTGCTGTCCCTCACACTTTTCCTTGTTTGTGGCTTACCCCCTTTGTCTCTCCAGGTACTATGCCATCTGCTGCCAACCTCTGGTTTACAGAAACAAGATGACCCCTCTACGCATCGCGTTGATGCTCGGTGGCTGCTGGGTCCTCCCCATGTTCATCTCTTTTCTCCCCATAATGCAAGGCTGGAACAACATTGGTATAGTTGACTTGGTGAGTATTCAAACTAACACCCTCATTTACTGTGTGATCAACTCTACTGGGTTAAATAAGCAAGTAATCCTAAGCTGGGTGGATGTCTTTTGAAAGATTCTAGTAGTGGTCTGAGAAACTTAAAAAATAAATAAATAAACTGAAAACTTTTCATGTCTACTAGCAGAGTCTCACCTTGACCAAACTTCAGTTAGGATCCTCCAAATTATCTTCCCAACCAGGTCTCAATTTTCAAATTTGTATTTATTTATTCTCTGATAATTTCATACATGAATGCAATGTATTTAGATTACATCCACCCCTAACTGTCTCCATAGGGCTCAAATGTTGGAGGCCTATTCCATGTCTGCCTCAGTTTCTTTTCCTGTTGCTGTGATAAAATACCCTGACAAAAGCAACTTAAGGACAAAGGGTTTTTTTTTTTTTTTGGGCTAATGGTTCAAGGTTCATTTCATCATGGTGGGGAAGTCAAGGTGGCAGGAGCTTGAAGCAGCTGGTCACATCTGACCACAGGCAGAAGAAGGGAGCAATGAAAGCCATGCAGTTCTTTCTCCATTTACACAGTCCACAGTGCTTGGAGAATGGTCCTGCCCACAAGTACTATGGTTCTTCCCACATTCACTGACTTACTAGATATAATTCCCACAGGCATACTCAGAAGTCCACAGGCACACCCAGGGGTCCACAGGCATTCTCAGAGGTCCACAGGCATACCCAGAGATCCACGAGGTCCACAGGCACACCCAGGGATCCACAGGCATACCCAGAGGTCCACAGGGTCCACAGGCATACCCAGAAGTCCACAGGCACACCCAGAGGTCCACAGGCACACCCAGAGTTCTTCCAGCACACCCAGGGGTCCACAGGCACACCAGAGGTCCTTCTCTCAGGTGAGTCTAGGTTCTGTCAAGTTGACAATTAACACTGACCATCACAGTGTCTATCTTTGCATTGCTCAATTTCATCAAGAATCCTGATAATTTGGTTTAACTGGAATTCCTCCATCTTTGGTAACTGACCAGGTGCCTTATCCTCCAGCTTCCCCCAGGTGATATCTGATTGCTTTGGCCTGTCTTCCATACGAATCCTGCTAAATTCATTTAGCTAGGATCCCCTTTGCCCCTCCTGTTTCTTCTTAATAATCTTCTAACCACTGACCTTCATTTATCAATGACCTTCATTTACCAATGACCCTCATTCCTTGAATATAAATCCCAACTTTCTCTGTTATGTTTAAAGTTGAGCCTAATCTCTCTCTCTCCTACTGCAAAATTATAGTAGTTCCTCTAACCTTTGAAAATAATATGGAATGAAGTTTGCTTTACTGCTTTAATAAGTATCACGAACAATTTTTAACATTACTATGTACCAGATAGTACACTAAGTACTTTATATATAATCCTAAAAGAATGCTTTTGGAAAGAGTATAATGATCCCCCATTTTACAGATGAGAAAAGTTTATAGTCAAGAGATTAAGTAACATGCCTCATGCCATACTGCTTGTGTAGATCAGGGACTCAATGTTTAGAAGTCAAGTTCCTGGACTTGAGGTACATCACATGTCCTGAGAAGCTTTCATGCCGTTTACGCTGAGAGTCTATAAGGATTGCACTGAGCTGGAAAAGCATGCCAGGGGGATAAAGATTGCCAGAGAATGAAGAGAGCCTTGGGCCAGAAGTCAGAAAAGTAAGCTGTGAGGAGATTAAAACTTAGAAGTTGTTTGTAGAATGCTTGAACTGGTTGACCACAGGTAACGGAAGGCTTTGTAGGTGAAATATGGGCAAAAGAGGACTATTGTGTCATTTCTTCAATGAGTATAAAATACCTACCTTTTCTTTCTCTCAAGCCCTAAGGCCCCTCTTGGTCATTTATCTGTATCTATACTTTTGAACATTATATTTATTTTTCAGTATATAAGACCTTACACAAACTTTTTAGTTATTTATTTTTATTTTATGTGCATGAGTGTTTTGCCTGCATGCATGTAAGTGCACCCTTGTGTGAAATGCCATGAAGGCCAGAGGAGAGCACTGGATCCTGTGGGACTGAAGTTACAGAATGATTGTCAGCTACCGTGTGGGTTCTGGGAACTGAATCTGGGTCTCCTATAAGAACAGCCAGTGGTCTTAGCCTTTGAGCCATCTCTCAAGACCCTAATTATTGTATTTCTGCGTGTGTGTGTGTGTGTGTGTGTGTGTGTGTGTGTGCACTGCCTGCATGTAGGTAGGTATGCCTGTGCCATGCCTGTAGAGGTCGGAAGAGGGTGGCAGAGCCCCTGAACTAGAATTGTGGACAGTTGTTAGCCACCATATGTGTTCTGGGGATCGAACCTGGGTCCTCTGCAAGAGCAGTGTGCTCTTGACCACTGAACCATTTCTCCATCTCCCTAATTATTTCTTAAGTTAGAAGAAAACTTCATTAGAGCACCCAGCAATCACACAAGCAAATCTAAGAAAAAGTAATCATTCATCACCCAAAGACCTGGATTTAGAATGATATTCAGCAAAGTCCTCAAACATTAATAAACTTCAAAAATATTTTAAAATGTGACTAAAAATGCAGAAATCTGAGAGATTTTAATAAAATTATCTGTGTTAGAGACCAGAATCTACCTTAACATAAACAACATGCCAGTGAATCTGAGGGTGCTGATTTGAGACATCCTGTTAGGGGCACTGACATATCATGCATGACCAGATAACACAAAAGGAGGAAGAGAGGCAGGGAGATGGAATGGAAAATGATTGTGACCACGTCTTTCTGCTCTTCCTGAGACTCTCAGTCCTTTACACATAGACAAGCTTTCTGCGATCTGGGACATATGCATGTCTTCTATCATCAAAGTTTATGTGATATATAGGTTTGTACGAAAAAGTTTTGGTGATAAACCTTGTCTTCCTTTTCTCCTTCCCTTGTTTCTCTCATTCTCTCTGTTCCTTTATCTCCCCTCTCCCTTGCTCTTCTTTTTCTATTACTTCCTTTCTTACATTTTTCTCTTTTCTGCCATTTCTTCATGGTTTCCTTCTTGTTCTCTTTCCCTTCCTTCCCTCTCTCCCTCCAACTCTCAGATAGAGAAAAGGAAGTCCAACCACAGCTCTAACTCAACATACTGCATCTTCATGGTCAACAAACCCTATGCCATCACCTGCTCCGTGGTGGCCTTCTACATTCCGTTTCTCCTCATGGTGCTGGCCTATTACCGCATCTATGTCACCGCAAAAGAGCATGCCCACCAGATCCAATTGTTACAACGAGCTGGAGCTCCCTCTGAAGGCAGGCCCCAGCCAGCAGACCAGCACAGTACCCATCGCATGAAGACAGAAACCAAGGCAGCCAAAACATTGTGCATCATCATGGGCTGCTTCTGTCTCTGCTGGGCTCCCTTCTTCGTCACAAATGTTGTGGATCCTTTCATAGACTACAGCGTCCCTGGACAGGTGTGGACTGCTTTCCTTTGGCTTGGCTATATCAATTCGGGGTTGAACCCGTTTCTCTATGCCTTCTTGAATAAATCTTTTAGACGTGCCTTTCTCATCATCCTCTGCTGTGATGATGAACGCTACAGAAGGCCTTCCATTCTGGGCCAGACAGTCCCCTGTTCAACCACAACCATTAATGGATCCACACATGTGCTGAGGTGAGTGCTTAGGGAGTGGATCAGTTTCGTTGATTTGCGTTGCTCAGGAGTCATGTTCCAGTTGTGTTCCAGAGAGTTATTCCTGAAAACAGGTACAATGTCTGCAAAGGCTAAACTCCATTCTTCCCTCTAGCCAATGAATGGAGGGGTGAAGAAGGACCTAGGCTCTGGAAGGTGACTGACCTGTATTCAAATCCATTCTCCATAATTCTTTGATCTTGGGCAGATCACTAACCGTTCTGGACCTTAGTTACACTTTTCAAAAATTGAAATTATGATCACTTTATCCCTGGATTTTTGTGAGCATCAGATGAACTAATGTATGTGGAGCTCATTGTGCTGAGTTTGAGTTTAATAAGCACTTAGAGATAGCAAGTGCTGTCTAGTACTCTCTGCAAGTGGTACTTTAGGGTAGTAGCTAAAAGCATGACCTTTAAGGCATGAAAGACTTGATTTTTGACTCCCAGTGACCCAATAACTATCCTTGTACTCTTTCTTGCATTTACTTTCAACTGTCAAAATGTCAATGATACCACCATCCTCATAGTTTTCTGACAATAAGAGATAATGTTCTCATAGGGCCTGACACCTTATATGTTCATAGTATTACTAATTTTATTAATGTTATAAACCTGGTATTAACTGCATGTTGCAGACAATCCAAGACAGCTATAACAGAAAACTGGAATAGACTAATGAGTGTGCGGAAGTAATGGCATGTGGTAAATGATGTAATGGAAATCTGGGGGTCTAGGGTGGAAAGAGGAGTCCAGAAGACGCTGGCTTTAATTAAGGATCTCAGGGAAGACTTCACAGAACAGAATTCTGTAAGAAATTGAGACAAGGAGGAAATGTTAGCAAAGGCATTCCGAGCAGATGGAGCAGCATAGGAAACGGAAAGGAAAACAGAAGCGCATCGAGGTGTCTCAGGATTTACCAAAGGTCACGCAGGCGGGTGGAGGTGGAGTGGCGTTGGAGTTGCATGTTCAGCACCTAGATGCTTTGTTTAGGAAACTGAGAGTCTTCAGGCCCCTGACCGCGAACTGTTCTCGGTTGTGAGAAGTTAGAGGTGCAGCACCTTCGTCCTGCGGCAGAGTCTAATCACCAATGCTAGATTTTTCTTTGCTCCGAGGTACATCAGGATTTCTGGAGTGTAGTTCCTCCTCATGATGAGAATATTCAGCTGTTTTGACAGATGAAATCTGTGGAATTTTCATCTGTATGTTTGAGAGAAGAAGAGGAAAAAATGGGAATTGCAATGAGACAGAAACACTGGGTATCAAAGGCTGATCAGAAATATGAATTCAATTTTCAGCCACTAACATGGGCATATTTTTAGTCAAAGCCTAATAGAGTGTTGAGGTTGCAGTTGGTAGAAGGGCCTTAAAAGATACTCCGAGAGCCCGACATTCTCCCTCAATTATTAGGATTTAGGCAGTGCCTCAGGAGGAATCCAACTACAAAGTGTGTGTGCAAAACTTCTGTGTGAGTGCCAGACAGCTCAAACTGTTCAAGCTAGCAGTTGCCTAGTACAGACTGTTGGTACCTTACAAATAGCATATGCGCCAGCAATACATTTGCTAAGTCAGTTGTTTTTTTGAAGTTCATGGCTTTCTACCAAAGATATTATCATAGACAAATCTGAAAGTTTCTAGGACAGGTAGAAAAGGCTTATTTTACTGATATTGTACTGGTTTTCCCTGATGCTTTGTTAATCTATTCTGTGGTTGTCAAGTAAAGTAGTTTCCAGGGCTATGGCTGTACTCCACATTTCATGAGGTCAGGAAGTACAGGGAGCTAGTTACAGTTATTGTTCTGTGAGGATGAAAACCATGTAAGAGTCAGCACAGCCTACACAGGGACAAAAAGGTTCCTTCTAAACTGCATTTCCTATAAGTCAAGTCTCACAAGCTCAGGATTCTGATTCACTGCTGCATACCAATTAACCAACACAATGCCTAAGATATATAGGAACTTAAAGTTTTGTTGACTGCATAACCAAAATTAATTCTCCAAGTTAATTGTTTAAACTTAACACAGCTTGGAGCTGGGGAGATGGCTCAGTGCTTAAGAACACTGGCTGCTCTTGCAGGGGACCTGGGTTCAGTTCCCAGCACCCACATGGTGGCTAACAACCATCTGTAACTCCAGTTCCAGGGGATCCAATGCCCTCTTCTGACCTCTGAGGGCATTGCATGACACGGGTGCACCTATCTAGATGCAGGCAATACACTCATACATATAGAATAAACCATATACTTTAAACAACACAACTTAAAAAAAACTCACAAGAAGAATGTCAGTGAATGTAGACACATTGAAGAAATAGAAATTTTAAAAAGAAATCAGCTTTTTAATTGAATTTTTGTGTATTGCATACATAAAATCATCTTTATTCTCCCTTCCCCTTTGGCACCCTCCCAGAGCACCCCCCCCCACTGGAGTTCATACCTTTTGTCATTTGTGTTAAGGCTTATTATGTAAAGGTAGTGCCCCCAGATGTCCCTCAGTACATGTTCATCTACCTGGGGTTAGTCAGCCTATCTAGAGTCTCTCCCTTCAAGAAGATCAACTCTTCCTCACCCAGAAGTAATCAGCTAAGATTGGGGCTTGTTCATTTCCACAGTTCTGTGCTGGGATTTTGTCTGCCTAAGTTTGCATGGGTCTTGTGCATACTGACACCATTGCTATAGGTTTGTATGAGAAGGGTCCCATGCATCTGTAGGACGTTTTCCATATGGCAATGCACCTCCTCCATGGCTCTTACAATCTTTCTGCTCCCTCTTCCACAATGGTCCTGGAGCCCTGGGTGAGTGGACCTCAATATAGGAGTCCTATCCAAGGACCCATACTCTGCAGACCCTTATTCTCTATCTTTTGGCCTTTTGTCTTCCTGGCCCTCTGTTGCACCAGGGAGCTCCATTGATGAGAACTGAAAGACGCATTAGTGTTTCTTCATCCCTTGTTCTATGTTCTGTGAGTCTTAGGTATAGAGGTTGTATCCTAGATGTGCGACTTAGTCTTGGGCCATTCACAGAGAATTTCTGTGTGTGACCAGTGGTGTGACTCTAATAATCTCTGTTTGTTGAAAAAGAAACTATTTTGATGGGGGGTGACTGGATAGCTGTCTGTAAATTTAAGGATTCATATTTTGTACATAGTAAGAAATTACATTTGTCTGGGGATATGAGAGCCTTCGGGTTTTCTCTAAGATCTATGACTTCTCCAGCTGTGTGTCTTTGGCTAGGTTTACAGTACCAGACATGAGTTTCCTCCCACTGAGTGGCCTTTCAGTCCAATTAGGTAGTTGTTGATTACCCCCAAGATAAAAATGTCACTATTGCACCAGTGTTGTTTGCTGTGCTGGTCATTGATGTGCTTTTTAGTCCTTGAAACTAAGGTTGGAGCATCCATTGCTGTTCCCCCTTACAGGCTTGCGTACTGCTGTCCAAAACTATGAGAGCTAGCCTTCAGGAGAGATGGCTTCCAGGTCAGTACCAGCTCCATTTCCAAATCCTGTGTCCAAAGTATGTCCTGTCTTCAGCAATAGGGTCTTACCATCAATCTCTGGGAGGCAATCAAGGCACTAGCCCGTGTAATTTTGGGAGTCTCTTGAACTACCTTAGCTACAACTCAAAGGAAGGTTTCTCCTGTCCAGCACTGTTTCTTGTTATGTACGTAGTCTTCAGCTATACTCACGGACTCATGTCAGGGTATTGTATGTGTAATTTTTCAGTAGGGTTTTGGACTAATATGATTGATTCCCTCTGGTTTTTTTCTGCTACTTCTACCTCCAGATATATTTTTTCAAGATATTTACACACATTGTTAAAGCTATACAAAATCATATTTTTCTTTGTTTTATATAAACGGCACCTATTACATATGCATTTTGATTTTATTCTTCAACAGTAATGCTTTGGAGATAATTCCAGTGGTGAACACATGGAGAGAATGCATTCTTTAACTGTTTGATTTAATTATTTCCCATTAGTAGGCATTTAGCTATTTACACTTATAAACTGTACTAGTTTAATGCCCTTGAACACTTTTCTCTGTGCATGTGCCAATATTTCTTTCACCATAGCACCCAAAGTGAAATACTTTATTAACAAGCATGTCAATAACATGTTACCATAACATTGACGTCCTACAACACTATATTAATAACATTGGCCTTCTTATCAATAGGTATAAAATTATCCTTTATTCTTCCCACTCATTAATATCAAATGTTACCAAGCTTTATCATTTTGTTAATTAAAGATACTCATTTAATCTGCATTTCCAACATGACTTGTCATGTTAAACCTCTTTTAAATTAGTTCTTGGCTATTTATATTTATATCCACCAGGGTTGGAGAGCTAGCTCAGCCATTAAGAGCACTGGCTGTTCTTGCAGAAGACCTGGGTTTAGTTCCAGCACCCGCATGGCAGCTTACAACCATTTGTAACTCGAGTTCCAAGGAAGCCAGTGCCCTCTTCTTCACTGCATGACATGGGTACATTTACACACATGCAGGCATAACACTCATACACATAAAAATATAAATAAATAAAATTTTATATTTACATCAACAACATAATTCTGTTTGGCCTTTTTTGATGATAACTTCTTTGCATTTAGTGTTTTTTAATTCTTTGACATTTTCATGCATGCATAGCAGGTATCTTGATCATATCCAAGCCCCTTCCTCTCCCTTCCAACTCTGCTGGGACTCCCATAACACATCTCCTCCCCAGCTTCATTTCCTCTATTTTAAATTTTTATTTTTATTTATTTTTAGCCCATTGAATCCAACTGGAGCTGCCTATCTATGCATGGGTGTTGGTCATCTACTGGGGCATGGGCAACACACAGTGGCCACCTCCTCAAAGAAAAGTGACTGTCCCTTCCCCAGTACCCATCAACTGCCAGTGGCTCCTCAGCCAGAGGTTGGACCTTCATAGGCCGTCTTGTGTTCATGCTGGAATGTTTAACTGGCTTAGTGTTGTACTGG